TCAACATTCTCTCAACTTGATTTTACATTTACACCTTTCAACACTTTATTTGGGTAAGCTAGGCCAACCACATAATTGTCTTCAGCGTCACACATTATGTACAGACATAAGATTGGTATTCATCTTGTTAACCGTGTCAGACGTAGTGTAGTACCACACACACAAAGAAAGTGTCTGTTGGGATTTTCTGCAGAGCATGTGTGATTGGCAGCAGAACCTTTTTTCTCGATAGCCTACGGAACAGGCAGGAGATGGGTAGAGAGAAGGGAAAGCCCTACATGTTCACCTCTTGGGCAGATTTAAAAAATAAATAACAACGAGTTGCCAAATATATGTTGGCAGTAGTAAAGTGTATGTAGGGCAAACATTGGGTTTCCTTTGAGTCAATTGGAAGTTGCTACTAATTATTGTAGCTATTAATTTGCTTCTTATCATTGCACAATGATTACCTTTATGTTGTTTAACTGTTGGGCATTTGCTACGGCATGTTCAAAGAAACTGCTGCATTTATATGTACGGTGGATGTTTGACATATTCTTTACCATTTTAGACAGCTAATGTTCAGTCAGAGAACAAAAAATGAATCAATAGGTCAATCAATAGTGAAAACAGACATCAGTCACAGTACCAACGCCCTTCCCCATCCCAGAGCTAATGTTCAGTTTAGCTGTTAGCTGTGGCTGAGTGTGTGTCAGGGGGTCTCACCTCAACAAGCAGACACACTGAACAGCTCCTCCGGCATCACTCCCAGCAGCAGGATCATCAAAGGTTGTTTTTATGGAGCAAGGCATGATATGTGGCTTATGCAAGACAATATAACAACAAACAGCCCTCGATAATCCAGCACAAATAATGTTTCATTTAATCATTTTATTGTAAAGAGCAATTTTGTCTTTTTAGAATTTTCATTGAACAAATCATCAAATATGTGTTGAAGAACATAGTTCAAATACATGTTGAGCTCGAGTCAAGCTTGTTCCCAAGTAAATTAGCATTACATTTGATAAGATTGTCCTGCGATTGAGGATTATTTTCATATATATCTATCTATCCATCCATCCGTTCATCCATCCATCCATAGTGTAAGATTTATCATAATTGTAGCTGATGTTAGCTGCCATGCTAGCTGGTTGCTTATCTTTTACATAAAGAACAGGTCTTGACAAATATTAAATGTATTGCTGAAATGTGAAACTGGGGTGATGAACATGTCAAATATTGACAAATGAACATGTCAATATATTGACAAATATTAAATGTATTGCTGAAATGTGAAACTGGGGTGATGAACATGTTATACATGATAGTGTCTGAACAGCTTTAGCATTGTCATGAATGCGCCTGTTGCCATAATATAATTAGCATTTAGCCTAAGGAAAGTACAGTTTCAGACTCTTGTCTTGTCCAGAAACAGGTACAACTGTGAAACAGGAAGATAAGCTAATCCGTACAGTGGAGCATGGTGCCTCCTCAGCTAGCTGTCCTCCTGCAGCCTGCCTCCATGTGTGCAGAGGCAGCCTGTCCACAGCTCTGTAGCAGCCCGGAGGCTTCACACACCCTGAGGAAAGATTGTGGTGGTTCATTTTGCCAGAAAGGGAGGAAAGCCATCTCCTCTCCTCCCTCATTCAGTGTCCCTCTCTACACATTCTAGTTATTGCGAGGCAGTCATGCTAATTATTCCTACTGCAACACGTAGTAGCTGCTAAACGGCCAGCCGCTCTGACTGCAGCTATCCTCCTACTGCCCCAGCATGATAAACACCCCAACCCCTTTTTTCCCTCCCTGCCTCCCCCTCTCTCCTCTCTTCTTTCTCTCCCTCAGTCATTTCATCATACCATTTTCCATCCTCAGTTGCTGTGTTACATTTAAGCCCTCACTTCTACTTCTACTACATCATTTACTCTCTTGCTGCCACCTCTCGTGTCCATTTTGCTCAGTTCAACGCTGCTGCAGGCTTTTAGAGGGGCAGACTGAGAAGAAAATGCACATGCAGTCAAGGCAAAGGCCCCAAAACCTGAGTCCAGTTGACTGCCGCTTCTAGTGTGTTCCTCTCTGTTCTGCGGGGGGGGGGGGGGGAATGAACGTGTTTGTTCTTGTAACATTTTGAATGTTTTAAGCCTGCGTACGCTTGTTTGAATGTGCTGGCAGGGTAGATGCAGTAGCAAGCCCCTGTGGCCAATTAGCCCACATTCTAACAGTAACACGTTAATAAATAGGACCGACTGAGGTCTGCGGGGCTGTAGGCCAATTCAGGGTCATCATAGTCAGATAACAGAGGGCATGCAGGACACACCACATACTGTATATCTATGGTAGTCATACATGCCATCATACAAGTTGTATGGAGGAATGTCTTGGCTGTGTGGTCTGAATGCTGTATTCAGATTTGGCTTTTTGAGTTGGCTTACTAATGGCTAATAGTTTTAGCGTTTTGTGGAATGTGCTCATTGGCTGTCTTGCTAAAAGTTAGATGAGAAGATTAATGTGACTCTTGTGTCTGCATGGTAGATATGGAGCTGGGGCAAGCAGCTAGTTAGCTTAGCATAAGCACTTGAGATGTGGGAAAGCGACGAGCCTGGCTCTGTCCGAGGCAACAACATCCCACTTTCAGTACATATAAAGCTCAATTAAAAGCATGTTATTTCTAAGCAAAAGCTTAGCTGTAGTTTAATTAGGGTTAGCGTTAAGATTTCTTGGATTCTCCCCAATTGCCTCGCAAACTCAAGACGAAAACACCGCTCCAGGAAGCTGTGCACTGCACCCAGCTGCTGTTCATCAACAGACACTTTAGGCATGCACCTTCTCCTAGAAGCACTGATAAAACAAGCAAGGTTATATCTTGTTTCCCTCCGTCTGCTAAGTTAAGCTAACCATGACCTGACTCCAGATCTTAACTGATCTTAATATTTCCCTTTCAGTATGGTTTAGTCCATAATAGTTTCACATTTTATTATCATTTATTTCAGTCAACATATTATATTTACAGCCAGGCCCCATTACTAGGAAGCATGAATTACTTTTATTTGATTAATATTCCAATCAGACACCATTGAGTGTAATTGATACCTGTGCAATTTGCTTAAGCAATCATATTTGTTTACTGCCAATATTGGCAGGAGCTTCATCTAATAGATTTCTAAATGAAATCACATCCCATGGTCTTCCTCAGTGGAGGTAGCTGCTCATGTGGAATAATGCAATCTGGTCACTTTAGTGTGGATGGTAGCGCTCTCGTTTAGAAACTGCGTGAGACTTCCTGCCGAGCTCTGTCATTGGCTAAGGAGGAAGTAAAGTTTTACTGTCTCAGCAGACGCCTTTCCATTTGAATGCACTCATAATCGTGTTCTTCCCCCTGCTTTTAGAGAAGGAACTCACTGCAGTGCAGATTAATCAGAGGGATTTAATTAACTTGTCCCCAGCACACACACCTGGAGACAAGACAGGCTATAAACTCAGCCAATTAGGGGAGTGGGGGGGGTGAAACTCCCTCAAGTCCAGGTCCCCCCATGTTTAACCCTCCTCCGACCACCCCCCTCACCAACTGCAAAGCTTTGTTCATGAAACTGTCCCTTCACGTCACCTTTTCACTTGGTCACAACACTACATACCATCATAAGGCCTGTGTATGGGGGTGTTTATGGTTGTGAAGAGCCATATTGGACTTTAAACATCACTTGTGTAATTACCGTGGCTATATTTGGCCTTATTCAATTATTTCTTACTTTCTCTTTGTGGGCATGTTTACTGGCTCTATTGGCGCTATAGGCAATGTTGGTCGGTCCAATACTGTGCGTGCGTGCTTGCGGGTGTGACGTCATCCCTTTAACCTTTACATCTCCACTGACCACCATAAACACTGTGCAGACAGCCAGCTGGGGCTACCCGTTCTAACTGACTGAATCCACTCATGTATCTGTGAGTCTCCAGTGGAATCAGCAGTCTTTGTAGCTGATTATCAAGAGGCCAGTTTTGATATTGGCCGTATCGTCCATCTGATGACATCTATGCTATTTGTGTTTACAGACACTTCCAACTACACACAACCTCACTTTTCTCTGATTCTAGAATACATGTTGCTGCTAGAGCTATAGCTAAAGATTTGAAAAAAAATATTAGTATTGGTTTGACTGATATTGCAATTGCGCTATGATTCATGCTATGCGAGGGAATGACCATCATTGCATTATTATTCTCATTGTCAATGTAAAAATATATTAAATTATTCTATAATGATGATCTGTACCAAAAAAATACGTTTTTTCCTGTCCTTTAGAATATTATTTCTAGGCCAAGATATCTGCAGCTCCACAGTACTTCATTCAAATGGTAAATTAAAACATATTAGCCTTAAACAAATATTGGTCTTCCTGCAATTTGCACTCGTCCATATTGCAATTTTGGTTACGTTTTGATTTATTGTGCAGCCCTATTTACTGCCAGGTCAAAACAATCAGAAACATATGAATAAATCAAGCAAAAACAGGAAGCCAGTATGCCATTGCTCAAATCATTAGCATCCCAATACTTGGTAAACCAGGGTGTCCTGAAATATCTCAGAAACAAGGAGCTCCGCCTATATGGGCAACTCTCCACCTATCAGGGAAATAGGGGGTTGGGCCGCGGCATTTCGAAGATGTGCGATCTTCATCAGTGGTTTTAAGCGTGAGCTACAGTATCTGAGAACGTTGGCCTGCTGAAAACATCAGAGAGACTGGAGTGATGCTAAGGGAAATGTAGTCTGCTGCATTTGAACCACGAGTGACCAAATTAGGAGGTGAGATCTCAACAAATCCAGTCAACAGGGAATTGTTCTGCTTGTGTACTCATTTGCTGACAGCTCCTGTCAAAGTCTACACACCACAGACCGGACCAAGTTTGTCTGTGTAATGATGCTATTCATCATTGTGGTTATGTGTGATCAGCTGATGAATCATGATTGCATCAGACTGCATGACCACAGCTCTTTTCATATTCTTTGTTCTTTTGCTTTTCTCTTTCAGAACATGGATAAGACTCAGCTGCCCTCGGTGACGCTGATTGTCGGCTGTGGAGTTTCTTCTCTGACTCTGTTGCTGCTCATCATCATCTATGTGTCTGTGTGGAGGTGAGATACAGTGACCTGCTATGTAACTTAGCAGTGAATAATGTAAGGTGGTAACATCACGCCAACATTTCTACAGGTGCAACGATTTGTTCTGTACATCTGTCAGTTAACCTGAGACACAAAAAACGATGGTGGTGTTAAGTGAAGACCAAACAGCTAGCGTGTGCTTGAAGAGAAGTTTTAATATAAAACATAAAATCACCATTCTTTCATGGGAAACTTTTGATCCGTGGCTCATATGTGTTGACATGGGAAGTCAAGTACACGTCATGCTTCTGTCTAAGTATTGACCTAGCAATTCAATGCTTTGCTGAAAAAAGGTTTAGAGGTAATGACAGATGCTAATGCTACTACAGTGGGTCATAGGTCATTGGCTGCGTCTCAGGTCGGTTATTTTTCATTTCCTCGCTCCTCGGTCTCGGTATCGCCGTAAGTTGATTTGTCTGCGCCATCTTTTGTAGTGTCCCATGGCGCTTATTTCTGCCGGAGGAGCGAGGAGCGATAATGGAGGAGCGATAATGGAGGAACCACCAGACCATCCTCCGGTGAAATCCTCAGACACTCGCCCCGCCCCCTTACTGTGTATCGCTCACTGATTGGACGATGCACTGATCTGATGCTTCTTGACATGAGAGCCGTTTCCCAGCAGAGTGAAGAAAATACATGAACCTCACGAGAGTCACTCCTCAGTTTATACCGTGTTTTGTTTCAATTAATGTATCATTTAGTTACAAATATGTGATATATCTGAACAACAAAGTGGTCAAAAATCATTTTATTCATTTATTGGAAACATCCCTCATGATTGGGGACCCTTGGGGACCCTAAAGAAAGTGACACTCACACTCCCTACTCTCTTTCCATTGGGAAAATACCGGAGATAGTGGGCCAATAATGTAGCTTGCAACAGGGTTAAAGTTAACTTCAACTTGGGGTTGCAAAGGGGTCTGTCTGATTGACCCTGATAAACAATGCATGGTTTACAATATGCAAATCCTTATGTGACACTCATTTTCTGTCTCCTTCCTGTCTCTGTCCGGCAGGTACATCCGCTCTGAGCGCTCAGTCATCCTCATCAACTTCTGTCTCTCCATCATCTCCTCCAATGCTCTTATTCTCATCGGACAGACACAGACTCGGAATAAGGTGAGAGCAATGTATTGTTCGTATTTACTTAGCAAATGATCACAGCAGCTTGTCTGAAAACATCAGAGAGACTGGAGTGATGCTAAGGGAAATGTAGTCTGCTGCATTTGAACCACGAGTGACCAAATTAGGAGGTGAGATCTCAACAAATCCAGTCAACAGGGAATTGTTCTGCTTGTGTACTCATTTGCTGACAGCTCCTGTCAAAGTCTACACACCACAGACCGGACCAAGTTTGTCTGTGTAATGATGGTATTCATCATTGTGGTTATGTGTGATCAGCTGATGAATCATGATTGCATCAGACTGCATGACCACAGCTCTTTTCATATTCTGAAATCTTACTTGTTTCTTAAATGTTATTCTCTTACCTCTTAATGTGTATACATATGTTTGAGTATGTGTTGATGGTGTTCAGATGTGTATGTATGTATATATTATTTATCATTTTTTATAGTCTTATTCTTTGGGACGGTGAGAGCTCGGTGAGAGCTCTCCCTGTTTGTATCACACACACACAGGGAAATTGACAATGCAGTTGACTTTGACTTTCTCTGTTGCTTCAGGTCTTGTGCACCCTGATCGCTGCGTTCCTTCACTTCTTCTTCCTGTCGTCGTTCTGCTGGGTTCTGACCGAGGCGTGGCAGTCCTACATGGCGGTGACGGGCCGCCTCAGGAACCGCATCATACGCAAGCGCTTCCTGTGTCTCGGCTGGGGTGGGCCTTCTGTCAACTGTTCTCATTGGTTCCTCTGCTCTCTCATCTCCGCTCTGTTAATGTGTGTTCTGTTTCCCTGCAGGTCTCCCTGCACTAGTCGTGGCGATCTCAGTGGGGTTCACCAAGGCAAAGGGATATGGAACACCGAGCTAGTAAGCATGCTTTGCTCCAGCTGCAGCATATAGCTCTTTAACTATGAATGCGGGGACATTACACATGGTGGGGGTTTATGTGTGCAGCATAATTAACCTCTCTCTTTCTCTGTCCCATATATCGTTTACCATCCTTATTCTTGCCATGACCTGGACCTCTCACCTCGTTCTGTCCCTCCTCTCTGCGACACTTCTGTTTCCTCCCCCTTCCACGCCTCCCCCTCCATCCTCCCTGTTTCTTCTGATCACGTCTCCCTCCCTCTGTGCTTCCTGCCCCCTGTAGCTGCTGGCTGTCTCTGGAAGGAGGTCTTCTCTATGCGTTTGTTGGACCTGCTGCAGCTGTCGTCTTGGTATTTCCTCTTTCCTCTATAGTCCTCTTTGTTGTTAGCTTGTACAATATCTGCTTTCATTTAGATTTAGACCATTCGCATCATGTAACAGTTTTCACTTTCAACAAAATCCATGTCAACTCGGCCTCTCACTGTAGATATTTAACGGCAAAAATGTTAACAATCTCACATTTCTGTTAAGAAACAGTACAAAACCCTTCATAATACAAACCTAACATTAAATAAAAAACAATATTAAAAGTTGACCAAAATAAACACAGCAAAGATGATCTTTAAATATGCTTTATTTAACCCATTATTCTGTAAATACTTGTTATTGAACTGTCATACATTTTAAAAGTGTTTCTAAGAATAATACTTTTTTATTAGAAAAAATTAGATCACTGCCAAGTTAATAGTCCATGACTCCTCCCTTTTACTTGATCTTCTCTACTTCTCTACCTCCTCTCTTTTTTATTGAATTCCTTATTTCCCTCCCTTTCACATTTGCGTAATATATGTCTTATATTATACCATGTTCTTCAGATTTCCCTTTCCTGCTTCCTTCTTTTATAACCTGCTTTTGTCTTTTCTTATTTATGTTTTCCTTTACCTCCTTTACCTTTATTTACTTGTTGACTTCCTTATTTCCTTTCTGTGGTCTTCTTTTGCTTCATTTGACTTAGTTTCTATATTTCTAAGTATTTCCTCATTTACCTCCTCCTTTCCTTCCTTTCCTCTTGCTTTCCTCCCCTACCTTGTTCCTTTCTTATTAACTTAGGTTCTTTGCTATATTGCCCAAAAAGTATAGTATGCTTTACAGTTTATAAAAAAAATGTCCACCTTTAAAATGGGATAATAATGATCAAACAATAAGTCATATTAAAAAGCCAGCTTTCTGTTCACTGGCAACTGTTAAACTCTTAAAACCCAGCTCAAACATACTGTTCAAAATCCCCATTCAAGATTTAATACGCACAACATATTACTAGTGTTTGAAATGTGTCCATGGTTGAACCTGCATAGAGCAAAGGATGGGCACTGCAGCAGTTGCATGATGACCATACAGGCACAGGGTTCCTTTGATCCACTCTGACAGCTGCTGCTTGAATTAGAACACCATTCAAAAAACATATAATGACACATGTATTGATAATTATCAACTCAGCTCTCCTGCTGTGACCTATGTCTGGGCTAAATCTCAGTCCTACACACACGGCACTATCCAAATCCATTGGCTTCGGTTTGGGTGATTCATTTCACACCTACAGTACGAGAGAACAGTTTGTTTTGGGTTCCCTATTTACACCTACCTAATCAAACAGCATCACAGTGGCTTAACAGATTTTACTATGAATCCTAAAAGCATTAACATCTTTGGAATTAACACAATTAAAGACAACCCCTCCCCCGTCTTTGATTTCTCAATGCTTGTAATTTATGCATGGTCTGTCTTTGTTCAAAAATGTATTCATATGTTAGAAATCATCCATTCAAACATTGTGTTCATGCTTCACTGGTTGGTGTTTGTTTAAGTAACGTGAGATGATACAGTCTAGTCATTACAGACCAGAGCCTACAGGAAAGTACAGCGTGTGTGTGTGTGTGTGTGTGTGTGTGTGTGTGTGTGTGTGTGTGTGTGTGTGTGTGTGTGTGTGTGTGTGCGCGTGCGTGCGTGTTGCCATTGCTTTGTCGTGTCCTTCATCCATCACCATCATCAGTTAGATGTGCAGTAATGAACCTGTTTGCTCTGCATTAATCCTGTGCCTCTTCTCTTCGGCAGGTTAACATGGTTATTGGAATTCTCGTATTTAACAAACTGGTGTCCAAAGACGGCATTACTGATATGAAACTAAAGGAGAGGGCGGGGTATGCCTTATACCACACATCCATTTTACACAGTGACCTATAACCAGCCTGATGGCTCAGACAGTGTGAATGATTGCTCTCGTGTCCGTACAGTGCGTGGTTACGGATAAAGAGGAGGAGAAATCCTCCATATGTGTGAGTGCTTTATCAACACAGGACAGAGAGGTAATGTGTGGTGGT